GTCTCTGCCTCACTGACAGCCAGGCATGGCCAGAGCAGCAGCACTGGTAGTGGAGCAGCCTGGCCAAACAATTCTGGTTCACTGCAGGCTGAGGCCCCCAATGTCCCAGTCATCACCAAGCTTGCCTTCTCCCTCCTGCCTTACTCTTTTAATGGTTGGTGTTTTCCCTCTCACTCTCCCCCTTGTTCCCACCTTCTCCTCTGTGCCCTGCTCCTGAGCCCCAAGCCCTTTGGTGCTGTAGCTGAAGGCAGTTGCAGCTGCCCCCAGAGCTGTGCTAGAAGCCTGAGAACTTTCCAGAGAACTGTCCCACAGGTTGTAAGTACAGGGCTCAACTGCAATCCAGCTGCCAGGGGTGTACAGGTGGGCATTAATTTCTCTGTACCCTCACCAACTTGCCTGCCACAACCAGCTGATCACAGCTGCTGTGTTCCCATGCCCAGGGAGGTGAGGCCTGGCCCCATGCTCAGGACCCCTGTTTACCCAACCTCAAGTCCACCTTCTGCATGATTTGTTGTCTTTTCCAGGCAGCATCCAGTTTGACTTGGCTAACTGTGAGCTTCTGGGAAGAAGTCATTGAGCTGGAGTTGGGTCTTTCTGCTTGCTGACTCAGGGTTCCTACCTGTATCTGTTCCCTGTGGTGTGGGGCGATGGGTCCTGGCCTGGGTGTTTGTGCAAGGTGCTGTCTGTCTGCTCACCATGGACACACACACACACCCTGATCCCATCTCTTCTGTTGCCCAGCTGCAGAGAGCAGAGTCCTGACCTGTGCCTGGCATGGAGAATGTCTGAAGAGGGGGACCAGGCACCAAGAATCCCCTGACAATCAGTGGAGCACTGCACATGCCCAGGAGCTGCTTTGTGACCTTGACAACAAGGCACATGGCTGCCTGGCCTGGCAGGTTCTGCATAGCCTTCCCCCAGAGCAGCCGTGGGTTAGACGTGAGGGTTGTGGAGACTCACCTGCATGCACACTTCACTTTCTCCCTTCTCAGGAAGATGCTATATGCTGCTAATCCTCACCTGAGGATATTTATTTTATTGATTTTCAGAAACTGGAAAAGAAGATGGGCAAAGAGATAAGGCAATGTTAGAGAGACATATTGGTTGTCTCCTGCTCATGCCCTGAGTCAGGGAATCAAACACACAACCCTTTGGTACATAGGCCTACACTGTAACCACTGAGCCTCACTAGCCAGGGCCATTTTTTTTTTCCTTTTATTGATTTTTTAAAAATCTTTATTGTTGAATGTAGACTGTATTACAGATGTTCTTCATTTTTCCCCCATTGACCCCCTCCTCCCCAATCCTGCCCCCCTCCTGCCTTTTCCCACACTATTGTCTGTGTCCATTGGTTATGCATATAAGTTCTTTGGTTTATTTCTTCCCACTCCCCAACCCTTTCCCTTTGAGGTTTGTTAGTCTAGCAATAAATTTGTATTTCTTAGTCCCTTCACCTTTTTCATCCATTCCCTCAACCCCCCTCCCATCTGGTAACCAACAAAATGTTCTCTGTATCTATGAGAATGTTCCTGTCTACCTTTCATTTTGCTTGTAGATTCCATTGTTGACAGATATGTATTCATTGCCATTTTGTTGTTCCTATATTTTATCTTTTTCTTCAAAAAGACCCTTCATCATTTTATATAATAATGGTTTGGTGGTGATGAACTCCTTTAATTTTTTTTTGTCTGGGAAACTATATGACCATCAATTCTAAATGACAGCTTTGCAGGTTAGAGTAATCTTGGTTGTAGGTTCTTGCTTTTCATCACTCTGAATATTTCTTGCCACTCCCTTCTGGCCTGCAAAGTTTCTTTTCAGAAATCAGCTGACAGCCTTATGAGAGCTCCCTTGTAGGTAACTAGCTGCCTTTCTCTTGCTGCTTTTAAAATTATCTCTTTGTCTTGAACCTTTTGCATTTTGATGATGATGTGTCTCAGTGTAGGCCTCTTGGGGTTCATCTTATATGGTACTCTCTGTGCTTTCTGGACTTGTATGTCTGTTTCCTTTACCAAGTTAGAAAAGTTTTCTGCCATTATTGTTTCAAACAGGTTTTTGATTTCTTGCTCTCTTTCTTCTCCTTCTGGCACCCCCAAGATGTGAATGTTGGCATGCTTGAAGTTGTCCTAGAGGCTCCTTACACTATCCTCATTTTTTTGGATTCTTTTTTCTTTTTGCTTTCTGATTGGGTGTTTTTTGCTTTCTTATATTGCAAATCGATGGTTGCTTCTTGGATTTACGTACTCTACTATTGAATCTGTGTGAATTATTCTTAATTTCAGTTAATGCCTCTTTCATTTCTGACTGTGCATCCTTCATTTCTGACTGGTCCTTTTTTATGCTCTTGAGGCCCTCACTAAGTTCACGGAGGTTCTAAGTTCATTGAGCATTCTTATAAGCAGTATTTTGAACTCAGCATTTGTTAGGTTGCTTATCTTCATTTTGCTTAGTTCTTTTCTTGGGGTTTTGTTCTGTTCTTTTATTTGGGACCTGTTTCTTTGTCTCCTCATTTTGGCTGCCTCCCTGTGTTTGTTTCTGTGTATCACTTAATGAGAGGTATGGGGCTAGCTGAGACCAGATGCTGCTTGCTTGAAAGAATTTAGGAAAAACCTGAAGCAGGATCCAAGACAGGCCAATCCTATGTTTAAGCAAGTAGCAACAGTTTGGGTGGGCCTGAAAGTTGGGTGGGGTGTGGCGGGGCCTCAGGGAGTCACCAGGGCAGAGCTACCAGTGTGAACCAGGTTGCTGGAGTCCCAGATATGGTGGCTGTCTGCTGCCCCAGGGAAGGGCTCACCAAAGGAACGAAGGCCTCTTACAGCACATCTGTCCCGGAGAAAGCCCCCCTCTCCAGCCCTCGCTCCAGTGCCAAACAGCTCAGTTCTTTCCTCTATGTCTCTGGCTCCCCTCGAGCTGCCTCCCCTCCAAGCTTAGAGGGAGAGAGTCTGATAAGTCTGTGCGGGCTTTTTAAGGAGCTGTCTGGGGCTCCAACCGCCTCAGCCTCCCTGAGCCTCAGTTTCTGCTGGTTGTTCCAGCCAGAAGTGATGGGGACTTCTCTTCCTGGCACTGGAACCTTGAGTGAGGCACCTGGTGTGGGATGGGGACCCCTCAGTCTTCAGGAGAACCTTCCCAGCAGAGGTCTCCTCCTGATTTTTATCCGCCACACATGGGTGTGGGACCAGCCATCCACCTCCGCCCCTCCTACCAGTCTGGATGTGGCTGCTGCTTTAATTCCGTAGTTGTAGGACTCCCATTCAGCTTGATGTCAGGTGGTTTTGAGTGGTGGTGGTTCTGTAGTTTAGTTGTAACTTTGATGTGGTTGTGGGAGGACGCAATACCGCATTTACCTGCACTGCCATCTTGAGCAGAATTCCGCCATTTTTAATTTTTTGAGATAACTCCACTGCTTTTCCCAGTGGCTGCACCCATCTGCAATCTCACCAACAGTGTAAGAGGGTTCTTTTTTCCACATTCTCTCCAACTCCTCTTTTTCGTTGATTTACTGATAACAGCCATTCTGACTGGTGTGTGGCAATAGCCCATTGGGGATTTAATTTGCATTTCTCTGAAGATTAGTTCCTTTGAGTATCTTTTCATATGTCTACTGGCCATCTGTATGTCCTCTTTTAAGAAGTGTCTGTCTATTTAGGTCTTTTGCCAATTTTTTAATTAGATTGTTAGTTTTTTTGCATGAGGTGTTTTTTGTTGTTTTTAAATATGTTTTACTGTTTGGAAAGAGAGAGAATGGGTGTGCGAAAAACAGAGAGAGAATAAGAAACATTGTTGTAAATGAGAAACATCTATCAGCTGCCTCCTACCTGCACTCTGACCTGGAATCAATCTGGTAACAAATGTGTTAGTGAATATATTCTCCCATTCAGAGGGTTGTCATTTCATTTTGTGGATGGGTTGTTTTGCTGTGTAAAAACTCTCAGTTTTATTTTGCTCCATTTGTTTATTTAGTTTTTTTTTTTCTTGCCTGAGGGAATATATCAGAAAAAAATATTGCTGTGAGAAATATCCAAGATTTCACCGCCTATGTTTTCTTCTACAATGTTTATCAGTTTGAATCTAATATTTAAGTCTTTAATTCATTCTGTGTGTATTTTTTGTATGGTGTAAGAAGGTGCTCTACTTTAATTTTTTGTTTACCTATTTGTTCAATTTTCCCAACACCATTTATTGAACAGACTATTTTACCCCATTGTATGTTCTTGCATTTTTTTGATGCATATTAACTATAAAGGTGTGGATTTATTTCTAGGCTCTATAGTCTAGTCCATTGATCTTCATGTCTGTTTTGAAGACAGTACTGTGCTGTTTTGATTACAATGGCCTTACAGTATAGTTAGATATTATGTAGCATGCATCCTCCAACTTTATTCTTCTTTCTCAAGATTGCTATGGCTATTTGGGGTCTTTTGTGGTTCCATATAAATTTTTGAAAAACATTTTTAGTTCTGTGAAATATGCCATTGGTACCTTGATATGCATTACATTGAATTTATAGGTTGCTTTGAATAGTGTTGACTTTTTCTTTGAAGTATCATTATTTTATCTTATCTCTCCAACTCTAAGTCTATATTTTATCTTTATTGTAGAAAGTACTGTGGATGTCACTCGTTTTTTCCCCTTTGACTCCCTCCTTTCCTCTCCCACCCTACTCCTGCTTTCCCCAAACTATTGTCTGTGTCCATTGATTGGACACATGGGCATATAGTTCTTTGGTGTAACCACAACATTTTTTATCCACCCATCTATTGATGGACACTTGGGCTGTTTCCAGATCTTAGCTATTGTAAATAGTGCTGCAATGAACACATGGGCACATATATCTTTTCTGTTTGGTGTTTCAGGCTCCTCAGGATACATTCCTAGAAGTGGGACATCTGGGTCAGATGGAATTCCATTTTGAATATTTTGAGGCAATTCCATACTCTTTTCCAAAGTGGCTGCAGCAGTCTGAATCCCCACCAGCAGTGTACTTTTCTCTACATCCTCACCAGCACTTGTTTGAAGTTTTGTTGATGGCAGGCATTCTGTCACATATGAGGTAATGTTTCATAGTTATTTTAATTTGCATCTCTGTGATGACTAGTGATATTGAGCAATATTTTTTTGTATGTCTCTTGGCCATTTGTATGTCCTGTTTGGAGAATTGTCTATTTATATCCTCTGCCCATTTTTAACTGGATTGTTTGTCTTTGTTTTTTTGGGTTTTATCAGTGCTCTATATATCTTCATATTAACCCCTTATCTGATATATTCTTGGCAAATACGTTCTCCTTGAGTGTGGGTTCTCTTTTCTTTTTGATGCTGATTTTCTTTGCTATTCAGAAGCTGTTTAGTTTGTTGTAGTGCCGTGTATTTTTATTTATTTATTATTATTTTTTTATTATTTTTTTCCTTTGTTTTTCTTGCTCTAAACAAAATGTTAGTAAAAATTCTTCTTATTCATAATCTTAGTATATGCTTTCACTTATTTGTATTCGGTTTCTTTTTTAAGTGTCTTATAGTTTCTGAGTACAGGTCTTCTACATCCTTGTTTTTTTTTTTTTTTTTTTAGTTACTTTATTTTATTTTTTATCCTCACCCGAGGATATATATATATATATTTTATTTTTGTTCAGGTAGAGTGAGAGGGAGAGAGAGGAACAGAGAGAAAGAGAAACATCGACGTGAAAGGGACACATCGAGTGGCTGCCAGCCGCATGACCAACCAGGGCCAGGGACAAACTGCAACTGAGGTATTGCCCTTAGCAGGAACTGAATCTGATCTCTAGGGGCTGCAGGTCAATGCTCTAACCGCTAAGCCAAATGGGCCAGGGCTAGGTATTTTATTTTGTTAATGTAATTGTGAAATGAGACTGTTTCCTTAGCTTCTCTTTTGATAGTTTGTGACTGGTGTTTAACAGTATAACTGGTTACTGGGTATTTATTTTGTATCCTGCTACTGCACTAAATTTCTTTATCAGTTCTAGTAAATATTTGGTGGAATCCTTTGGGTTCTCTATATACAGTATTATGTTATCTGCAAATAATGACAGTTTTGCTTCTTTCTAATGTGAATGCTTGTTATTTATTCTTTTTGCTAATTGATGTGGCTACAAGATTTAGTGCTATGTTGAACAGTAGTGGTAAAAGTGGTCATCTCTGTCTTGTTCCTGATCTTCAGGTAAACACTTTCAGTTTTTTCCCATTGAGTATAATGTTGGCTACAGGTATGTCATATATGCCTTTACTATCTTGAGGTATGTCCCCTGTATTTCCACTTTTCTGAGAGTTTATTTCATAAGTGGGTGCTAGATGTTGTCAGATAGTTTTCTGCATTTTTTAAGATCATTGTGTAATTTTTATTTATTTTACTTATATTCATTATCAAGTTTATTGATTTTCAAATATTTTATCAACCTTGCATCCCCAGAATAAATCTCAGTCAATCACAGGGTATAAGTGATTTCATGTAGTGCTGAATCTAGTTGCTGATATTTTGTTGAGGATTTTGTATCCATATTCATCAGGGACATTGGCAAACTTTTCTTTCTTTTACTTTTTCTTTTTTTTCTTTTCTTTTTTTTTGGTATCTTTCCTTTTTCATATTATTTTATTTATTTATTTTTTATTTGTTTGTGTTACAGATGTTTCTCATTTTTTCCCCATTGACACCCTCCTCCCCTTCCTCTAGCCACATCCCCAGCTTTGTTGGCTATGTTCATTGATCATGCATACATGCATATATGTTCTGTGGTTTATCTCTTCCTCCCCCAAAACCCCCCTCCTCAGAGGCTTGTCAGTCTGTACCCCACTTCTATGTTTCTGGGTTAATTTTGTTCAGCAGTTTGTTTAGTTCATTATATTCCACAAATAAGTGAGATCATGTGGTATTTGTGTTTCTTTGATTTGCTTGTTTCACTTAGAATAATATTCTCTAGGCCCTTCCATGCCATCACAACGGATGAAGGATCTTTCTTTCTGACAGCTGCATAGTATTCCATTTTGTACACGCACCAGGAATTTTTAATCCACTTATCTACTCATGGACACTTGGATTGTTTCAGATCTTAGCTATTGTAAATAGTGCAGCTGTGAAAATAGGGGTACATATATTATTTCGGATTGCTGTTTCAGAGTATATTCCTAGAAGTGAGATCACTGAATAAAATAGCAATTCAATTTTTTACTTTTTCAGGTAACATTATAGTATTTTCCACAGTGGCTACCCCAATCTGCATTCTACCCAGCAGTGTATTAGAGTCCCCTTTTCTTCACATCCTCGCCAACACTTGATTGATGATTTGTTGATAGCAGCCATTCTGAGAGGTGTGAGGTGGTACCACATAGTTGTTTTAATTTGCATCTCTTTGATGATTAGTGACATTGAGCATTTCTTCATATGCCTCTTGGCCATTTGTATGTCCTGTTTGGAGAGGTATCTATTTAGGTCCTCTGCCCAATTCTTAATTGGGTTCTTTGTCTTCCTATGGTTGAGTTTTATAAGCACTCTATATATTTTGGAAATTAACCCTTATCTGATGCATCATTGGTGAATATGGTCTTCCAGATAGTAGGATCCCTTTCCGTTTTGATGGTTCTTTCTTTTGCTGTGCAGAAGCTTTTCACTTTCATGTAATCCCACGTGTTGATTTTTTTTTTTTTTTTTTTGGTGTGTATGTGTCTGTTGCCTTAAGTGTTGTATCAGTGAAAATTCTGCTATGTCTAAAAATTTGTTGCCTGTACTTTCTTCTAGCATTTGTATGGATTCACGAGGTACATTTAAGTATTTTATCCATTTCGAGTTTATTCTCATGTATGCTGTAAATTTGTGGTCTAGCTTCATTTTATTTTGCAAGTAGCTGTCCAATTTTTCCAAAACCATTTATTGAAGAGACTGTCTTGACTCCACTGTATGTTGTTGCCAACATTGTGAATTGATAATTGAGTATATTGTCTTGGATCAATTTCTGGTTCTCTATTCTGTTCCATTGACCTATCTGCCTGTTCCTGTGCCAGTACCAGGCTTATTTTTATTACAGTGGCTTTGTGGTATAACCTGAAATCTGGTAATGTGATCCCTCCTACTTTGTTCTTCTTTTTCAAGATTTCTGTGGCTACTAGGGGTCTTTTTTAGTTTTATATAAACTTTTGGAGTGTTTGTTCTAGGTCTGTGACGTAAGTCATTGGTATTTTGGTGAGGATTGCATTGAATGTGTAGATTGCTTTGGGTGGTATGGACATTTTAATGATGTTAATTCTTCCAATCCATGAACAGGGTATATGCTTTGACTTTTTTATATCTTCCTCCATTTCTAATTTCAATGACCTGTAGTTATCTGTGAAGAAGTCCTTTACTTTTTTGGTGAAGTTTATTCCTAGGTATTTTAATGTCTTGTGCTGTGATGGTAAATGAAATTGATTTTTTAGTTTCTCTTTCTGTGATTTAATCTTTGGTGTATAAAAATGCCATCAATTTCTTGACATTAATTTTGCATCCTGCCACTTTGCCAATTTCATTTATTAAGTCTAGTAGATTTTTGATGGAGTCTTTAGGGTTTGTTTTTTTTATACGCACCATATTATGTCATCTACATATAATGACAGTTTCACTTCTTCCTTTTCAATTTGGATCCCTTTCATTTTCTGTCCATGTCTAATTGCTGTGTGTAAGACTTCCAGTACTATGTTAATTAAGAGTGGCAAAAGTGGGCATCCCTGTCTTGTTCTCATTCTTAAGGGGAATGCCTTTTGTTTTTGCCCATTGAGTATGTTGTTGGCTGTGTTTTTCATATGTGGCCTTTATTATATTGCGATGTGGCCCCTCTATTCCCACATCGCTGAGCGTGTTTATCAGAAATGGGTGCTGGATTTTGTCGAATGCTTTTTTAGCATATATTGATATGATCATATGGTTTTTATCTTTTATCACATTTATTGATTTGCATATATTGTACCATCCTTGAGTGCCTGGAATGTAACCCACTTGGTCATGATGAATAATGTGTTTGATGTATTGCTGGATTTGATTTGCTAATATTTTGTTAAGAATTTTGGCATCTGTGTTAATCAGGAATATTGGCCTGTAGGTTTCTTTTGTTTGTAGTGTCTTTATCTGGTTTGAGAATTAGGATTATGCTGGCCTCAGAAAGTGTGTTTGGAAGTGTTCCGTCTTCTTGGATTTATTGAAATAGTTTGAGAAGTATGGGTGTGAGTTCTTTGAAAGTTCAGTAAAACTCCCCTGTGAAGCCAGTCTGAGCCTGGGCTTTTGTTTGCTGGGAGATTCTTGGTTATATCTTCAATTTTCTTAGTTGTGATTGGTCTGTTCAAGTTTTCTATCTCTTCCCCGTTCAGTTCTGGGAGATTATGTATTTCTAGAAATTTGTCCATTTGTTCATCTTTTGAATTATTTTTAGTCTGTATGTTGACTATTTGTGCTGTGATCTTTGCTATTCATTTTCTACTACTTACTCTTTTTTTCTGTTTGTTTGTTTTGTTTTTGTTCTAGTTTTTTAAGTTCTGATGTGAGATAGTCAATTAGAAAATCTAGTTTCCTGAGGTAGACATGTAGGGTATAAACTTTCCTATCAGGACTACTTTCACTGAATCCCATTGATTTTGTGTTGTTGTGTGTTCATTTTCATTGGTTTCCATGAAGTTTTTAATTTTTTCTTGATCTCCTTGTGAACCCATTCATTGTTTAATAACATGCTATTTAGTCTTTATGTGTTGAAATGTTTTTGTGTATTTTTTTGTAATTTATTTCTAGTTTCCCATCTCTTTACTTTCTACCTATGTAAGGCTTTTGTTGTGAGTTGGGTCTCTTCTAAACAACATATATATGAGCTATGCATTCTTATGTATTCACCTACTCTGTGTCTTTTCATGGGAGTGTTTAATCTATTTGTGTTTAAGGCAATTATTGATATGTACTTATTTATTGCAATTTTCATTTATTATGGTTATATTTCTCTTCCTATTTCTTCTGCTTATTACAGCACTCCTTTTAACATTTCTTAGAGAGCTGGTTGTTGCTAACATATTCTATTAGCCTTTTTGTCTGGGAAGCTCTTCCTTTATTTCACCTTCTATTTTCAATGACAGTCTTCGTGGATAGAATAGTCTTGGATTCAGATCATTGTTTTCCTTACCGTGATCGCTTCATGACTTTCTCCTCTGTCCAGTAGTGTTTTTGTTGAGCATTCAGCTGATAAGGTTATGTGATTTTCTTTGTGGGTAATCTGTTGCTTATCTCTTGCTGTGTTTCAAATTCTATTTCTCTCTTTAATTTTTGGCCTTTAATTATTATGTGTCTTGATGTGGGCCTCTTTGGATTCTTCAAAGTTGAAGCTCTTTGTGCTTCTTGAAGATATATGCCATTTTCCTTCACCAAGTTATGAGTGTTTTCTGACATTATTTCTTCAAATATATTCTCTATCCCTTGCTCATTTTCTTCTTTTCCTGGAACTTCTATGATGTGTCTGCTATGTGTTTCATGTTGTCCCACAGTTCTCTTAGGCTGTCTTTCTGTTTTGTAATTGTTTGATTCCTTTTGGTTCTCTTATTGGGTGATATTTTGTACCCTGTCTTCTAATTCACAGATCCAATCCTTGTCTTTCTCTGACCTGCTTTTTATTCCTTCCAATGTGTTCTTTATATCTCCTATTTCATTATTTATTTCCAGTTTGTTCATTTTCAATTTTTCTTTATATTCACTCATGCTGTTGAGCTCTTTACTTATGTTGTTGAGCTTCCTCATAGTATTACTCCTAATTCTAGCTCTGATATCTCGTTTAAATCCATTTCATAATTCTCCTCTCCTGTAGAATATCTTGTTCTTTCATTTGGGACTTGTTTTTTTGTTTCACCATTGCGGCTGTCTCACTGGGTTTTAGAGCTCGCCAAATTTTCCCTGTGGGTGTAGGTGTTTTTCTGGTTGTGGCTCCCTTTCCTGGGTTTGGATAAGTGTGAAAGAACACATGTTAAACACTACTCTCAAGGATTATTTTCCTTGGTAGATTGGAAGGCCAAGAAAATGTTCATTTGTCCTCTAGCTTTTTCCTGGCAGCCATTAGTCTCATTAACTTGATGAACCTCAATTTGTAGCCCTCAAATGTATGAAAAATTTCTTAGGTTTAAGAGGATTTCCAGAGGGTGGGATACTTGCTTTCTGTCAGACTATAAGGTAATGAGCCTCAGTTTGCATTTTCAGGTCAGCCTGGTGGTGTTGAATTCCTGAGGGAGGGGCCATTGCTTCTCCCAAGGCTCTGAGAAGAAGCTCCTTGAATAAGGTGGCTGGTATTCTATGAGAAATTGATAACAGCACAAACTCCCAGTCTCCTTCCCTCCAGCTCTCTTCTGAACCAAGGTCCTGGATTCTCTCCACATATTTTCAGTGCAGTCAGCCCTCCCTCTGCTGGATCCCAAGGTAAGTGGATGTACTTGATTTTGTGCTATTTAAAACCTCTGCCTTCTCAGCTAAAGCAGCCTTTAGCTATTGTTTGTGGGCCCCCAGCCTGCTCTGTCACACCTCCACAGTTTCTACCAGGCTCAATTTGGCACCCTCTTTTTGTCCCTGGTTATACAGGATCTCTCAGCTGTTTGGAGTTGGTTTTTCCCAATGTTGTGTTTTTATTTTTGTTGTAGTTTCAGTTTGGTTGTGAGAGGAGGTTTGTGTAGCTTCCCTTTACTCCACTGCCATTTTTCCTTCCTCTTAATATTTTATAAAATTTTATTTTTGTAATAATACTGAATCACTAAATATAAATACATATGATTTCTTCAACCTCCTCATACTGTTATGTTCATTATATTCCACAAATAAGTGAGATCATATGAAACTTGTCTTTCTCTGTTTGGCTTGTTTCACTTAGGATGATACTTTCAAGGTCCCTCAGTGTAGTCTCAAAGGATAAGAGGTCTTTCTTTCTTACAGCTGTGTAGTACTCCATTGTGTATATGTACCACAGCTCTTTTATCCATTTGTCTACTGATGGACACTTGGGCTGTTTCCAGATCTTAGCTATTGTAAATAGTGCTGCTACAAACATGGGGGTACATGTATTCTTTCTGGTTGGTGTTTCAGGCTTCTTAGGATATATTCCTAGAAGTGGGATCACTGGGTCAAATGGAAGTTCAATTTTTAGTTTTATGAGGTAACACCATATTGTTTTCTATAGTGGCTGCACCAGTCTGCATTCCCACCATCTAATCTATCTATATCATCTATGTCTATATATAATGTATCTATACCATCTATATTTATATGTATATAGTTATTTATTTTTAATATTTATTAATTATTTTTTTTTGTTTCAGATGTTTCTCCTTTCCCCCCACTGCTTTCTCCTCTCCCTGCCTCCGAGCCCTGTCTCCAGCTTTTTTGTCCATGTCCAGTGTTCATGCAAACATGCATATAAGTTCTGTGGTTTATATCTCTCTCACTACCCTCTCTTCAGGGGATTGTCAGTCTGTACCCCACTTCTACATCTTTGGGACAACCCCATTCCTCAGACTGTTACCTTCATTATATTCCACGAATAAAGGAGATCGTATGATACTTTTCTTTCTGTTTTTCTTGTTTCACATAGGGAAAATGCACACATATTCAAAAAGCCTATAGAATAGTCTAGTAAAGGTTAAAATATTCATTACCTAGTTTTAATAACTATTACCAATATTTTCTGATATTATTTATCTATATGCCACTTTTCTTTTTTATACAAATTTATTATTTATTTATTATGTACTTATGCATTTTAATTAATTTATTCATTTTTTTGTTATAGATGTTTCTTCCTTTTTCCCCCCGAGACACCTATCTATCCTGCCCCCTCACAAGCATTGTTGTTTATGTCTGTTGGTTATGCATACATGCACATATGTTCTTTGGTTTATCTCATATCTCCCCCTTCACTCCCCTCCTCTGAAGTTGCATCTCTCAACTGATTAGTAACGTTGAGCATTTTTTTATGTGTCTCTTGGCCATATGTGTGTCCTGTTATGAGAGGTGTTTATATAGGTCTTCTGCCCATTTTTATTTGAATTGTTTGTCTTCCTTTTGTTGAGTTGTATGAGCACTCTATATATTTTGGAAATTAGTCCCTTATCTGAAGTATCATTGGCAATTATGCTCTCCCATAGAGTGGGTTGTCTTTTCATTTTGATGCTTGTTTCTTTTGCTGTCCAGAAGGTTTTTAGTTTGATGTAGTTCCATGTGTTTGTTTATTGTTGTTTTTGTTTTGTTTCTCTTGCCCTAGGTGATGTATTGGTAAAAATTCTGCTGCCTGTGATGTTTGAGATTTTGCTGCCTGCATTTTCTTCTAGGAGTTTTATGGATTCACAAGTCACATTTAAGTCTTTTATCCATTTTGACTGTAGTTTTGTGTATGGTGTAAGTTGTTGGTCTAGTTTCATTTTCTTTTCATTTTGTTGCATGTAGCTGTCCAATTTTCCAAACACCATTGATTAAATAGGCTGTCTTTACCTCATTGTGTGCTCTAGCGACCTTTGTCAAATATTAATTGAGCATACTGTCTTGGGTCAATTTCTGGGTTCTCTGTTCTGTTTCATTGATCTACATGCCTATTCTTGTGCCAGTAGCAGGCTGTTTTGATTACAATGACTTTGTAGTATAACCTTGTATCTGGTACTGAAATCCAGTTTCACTTCCTACTTTCTAATTCAGATCTCTTTTATTTTTTCTTCTTGTTTAATTGCTTTGACTCAGACTTCCAGTGCCATGTTAAATACAAAGTTGCAAGAGTGGCCATTCCTGTCTTGACCCTGTTATTAAGGATAATGCTTTTAGTATTTGCCCATTGAGTATAATATTGTCTGTAGGTTTTTCATATATGTTGAGATATGATATTTCTATTCCTACATAGCTAAGTGTTTTTATCAGAAATGAGTGCTAAATTCTGTCAAAAGACTTTTCAGTATTTATTGATATGATCATATGATTTTTATCTTTCATTTTGTTTATATGATGTACCACATTTATTGATTTGCAAATATTGTACCAGCCATGCATCCCTGGGATGTATCTGAGTTGGTCAAGGTTTATAACTTCTTTTATGGTATTGCTGGATTCAATTACCTAATATTTTGTTAAGGATTTTAGCATCTATGTTTATCAGGTATAGTAGCCTGTACATTTCTTTCTTTGTAGTGCCTTTATGTGTTGTTTTTTATTAGAATTATGCTGGTCTCCAAAATCAACTTTGGAAGTGCCCCTTCTTTTTAAAATTTTTGGAAATAGTTTGTGAAAAATGGGTGTTAATTATTCTTTGAATGTTCAATAAAACTTCCCTGTAAAGCCATCCGAGCCCAGGCTTTTGTTTGCTGGGAGTTTCTTGATTACATCTTCAATTTCCTTAGTTGTTATTAGTCTGTTCAAGTTTTCTGTCTCTTCCCGGTTCAGTTTTGGGAGACTGTATGATTCTACAAATTTGTCAGTTTGTCCTATATTGACCAATTTGTTGGCATATAGTTGTTCATAGCATTTTAAAACAATCCTGTTTTTCTATGGTGTCAGTTGTTACTTCTCTTTTTTATCTGATTTTGTTTATTTGGATCCTTTCTCTTTGTTTCGTGGTGAGTCTGGCTAAGGTTCCATCAATGTTGTTTATTTTTTTTAAGGAACCAGCTCTTTGTTTCATTGATCTTTTGAATTGTTTTTTAGTTTCTATGTCATTTATTTTCACTGACTTTTTCTATTTATTTCCTTCTACTTGCTCTGGATTTTTCTTTTTCTTTACATTCTAGTTCTTTAAGTTGTATGGTTAGATATTCAATTAAAAGTTTTCTGTTTTTGGAAGTAGGCATGTAGTGCTATGAATTGTCCTCTCAGGACTGCTTTTGATGCATCCCACAGATTTTGTGTTTTTTTCATTTTCATTGTTCTCCAGAAAGTTTTTCTTGTTTTTCTTTTTTATCCTCACCTGAGGACAGTTTTGCATTTATCTTCAGATAGAGTAGGAGAAAGAGAGAAATAAAGAGAGAGAGAAAAACATTGATGTGAGAGACTTATCGACTGGTTGCCAGGCACAGGACCCCAGACAAGGTTGGAGACTAAATACAACTGAAGCATGTGCCCTTAGTGGGAACCAAACCCAGGACTCTCTGGTCCACAGGTCGACATTCTAACCGATGAGTCAAACCAGTCAGGGAGGTTTCCAGGAAGTTTTAAATCTCTTCCATGATCTCCTTGGTAACCCATTCATTGTTTAAGAACATAATATTTAGCCTGCTTGTGTTGGAGTGTTTTCATTGTAATTAACTGCTACTTTTATGCCATTGTGATCTGAGAAGATGCTCTATTTGTTTTTTCAATCTTCTTGAACTTGTAGAGACTTACTTTGTGTCCTAATGTGTGTTCTGTCTTTGAGGATGTCCCCTGTGCACTTGAGAAGAATGTGAATTAAGCAGTTTTGTGGTGTAATTCTATGTAGATATTTATTAAATCCATTTGATCTAGTACATAATTTAAAGTCTCTGATTCATTGTTAAATTTTTGTCTAGATGATCAATTCAGTGATGTCAGCGGGGTGTTGAAGTCTCCTGCTATGATTGTGTTCCTTTTTATTTTTTCTTTGAAGTCCTCCAGAAGTTTTACAAAGTATCTGTACTCCTTTATTGGGTGCATATATGTTTACTAAGGTTATATTCTCCTGTTCCTGTTGGATAGATCCTTTCAATGTTATGTAGTGGCCTTCTTTGTCTCTAGTTAATATGGCCTTCATTTTGAAGTATATTTTATCAAATATAAGTATTGCTACCCCAGGTTTTTTGTTTGTTTGTTTGTTTCTGCTTGCTTGGAAAATTCCATCCTTTCACTTTCAAACTATGTGAGTCTTTTGTTGTGAGTTGGATCTATTGTAAACAACATATATATGAGTCATGCTTTCTTATCCATTCAGTGTCTCTGTGTCTTTTGATCAGAGTGTTTAATCAATTTACATTAAAGTTATTATTGATGTGTACTTATTTTTATTGCCATCTTCACTTATTATGGTTATGTTTCTCTTCCTATTTCTTCTGCTTATTACAGCAGTTCTTTTTTGGCATTTCTTGGAGTGCTGGTTTGGTGCTAATATGTTTCCTTGGCTTTTGTTGTTAATTTGTTTTTGTTTTTTATTTGCATGGAATGCTTTTTATTTCACCTTCTATTTTGTTTTTTTGTTGTTGTTGTTTGTTTGGTTGGTTGGTTTTGTTTTTTAATTTATTAATTTGTTTTTGTTACAGATGTTTCTCATTTTTCCCTCCTTGACACCTTCCTCTCTTTGCCCCCCATCTCCAGCTTGGTTGGCTATGGTAATTGGTCATGCATACATGCATGTAAGTTCTGTGGTTTAACTCTTCCCTCACAAAACCCCTCCTCTGAGGCTTGTCAGTCTGTACCCCACTTGTATGTCTCTGGGTTAATTTAGTTCAGCAGTTTGTTTAGTTCATTATATTGTACAAATAATTGAGATCATGTGATATTTGTCTTTTTTTGCTTGGCTTGTTTATTGAGCATAATTCTCTCTGTCACACATGCATGGGCTTTGACACCCCCCATGGCCCGCTCCAGAAGGCTTAGTGAACCTGGCAGGAGCAGGAGGAGCCCAAGGTGGGGCCTCTGGTCCAGCCCAATGCTCTGGCCAAGTTTGTGCATGGGAAGATGCTGTGGTCCCCGGCCTACAGCTCCTGTGTGCACCTGGTGGGCAGCCCTGCTTGGCCTGTGCTTTGGCTTCCTGGTGCTTGGCTACGTGCTCTGCCTGGTCTTGGGCACCCTGGTCTCTCAAAAGTCGGTGGCGCTGCCCTGTGAGGACCTGCTGTGCCAGGAGCTGCACAAGCTGAAGCAGCGCCTCCCGGAGCGCGAGTGCCTGTCCGAGCCGCAGCGCGAGCAGGTCCTGGGCCAGGTGCTGGAGGCAGCAGCCAGGGCCTGTGGGTGCTCAGCAATGCCTTCGGCCACTGGAACCTGGACTTCACCTCCGTGCTCTCCTTTGCCAGCACCGTGCTCTCCACCACAGGTAGGATCCCAGTGGCCTGGCACCATGGCCGCTCCCCACCATGCCCTCTCCAGCCCCTCTGCCCTGCCTGCCCCTCTCCAGTGTCACCAGCCCCTCTGACTTGCCTCTCCCCACCCTGGTGTCCCCAGTCCCTCAGACTCGCCTGCCCCACCCCGGTGTCACCAGCCCCTCCAGCCTGGCCATCAGCCCCT